TTATGGCAGGCAGAGTCCTTCTTCAACAGCACTGACATTAATGCTGCTTCAGAGCTCATTTTGCCATGGAACCTGGGCACTCAGAATGGCTCCTGCAGCTCCCCCAGCCCACTCCTAGCTGGGCTCTATCCATGACTCCTTCAAACTCTGGGATACAAATGAACATCAAGGTCACTCTCCTGTTTCTTAAAAAGTTATAGGACCATACAGGGGAAGAGTTCCTTTGTCAAGGGTTGGGGAAAGGGCTTCATGAACTTCCCACACAAATGCCACAATTCTTGTGTTTGCAATTCCTGACATATTTAGATGAAAGGCGCTAAAGAGCTTTCAAGTCAAATATTTTTAATTAAACTTGAACACATACATGCAAGTAGAAACAAGTACAAACATTAAGCAAAGTTGGTTGATAAGGTTACATTATCAAACAACAATCATCTCAAGCAGTATTTTTTTCCATATTTAGAACTCCATATTCATCTCACACTTCCCAGTTGTTTGAAATTCGACCGAAGTTGTCTATCTTCCATTTCCATCTTGTTTTTGCAATCCAAGGACATTTTTTTGTGACAGGCTTTTCAAACAGAGGAACTTGCCAGCTCTTTTTTCCAAGCTTTTCATACGAAGCATTTCCAGTTTTCAGGAATTAGGATCACTTACAAGATACTGCTTGTAATGCAACAGGGAACACCAAGATTTTAATGTATTTTTATCTATGTATTTAGGAAAAAACTCTCATTGTGCAGCCTTCCACAGAGACAAAGATTGGTGTGTTCTTGGTGCAGCATAAGAACCAGCATTTTCAGGTCTTTGGGACAGACACACAGCTCTCTGAGCATGGCAGGACATTTTCTGGCTAAGAGAGAAATCATCCAACAACAACATAAGATGACAATAACACAGAGATTTTATGATATTGTAATTTACCACAGAACCTCCAACTAAACAGAAAACATGTTCAGCATATGTTTCATATACTTTTAGATATCTAATGTTGTAGATGGTACAAACCTGTTCTTCCAGGACTAAAACAACTCTGAATATATTGACTCAAGGAATTCAATTACATTTAGTACTAGAACTCTTAACAGACAGATTGATGACAGAGAGCCCAAAGAGCACCACAAACAGCAAGGTGTTAAAAAACATGACTCATCAAGAAAGAATGAAAGATATTAGAGCTCAGAAACAGTTAAGATATCCTGAAAAGGAGAGAGAAATTCTTCCCCATCTCTCTTCAGGTATAATACAAATAGTCAGAAATTCAAACTTATAGCAAGAAAATGTGATTTGGTCACTAAGAAAATTGTCCTAAATATACACATTTGATACTGGAATAGATGACCTGGGAAATCTGCAATAATGAGATCTCAGAAAAACATTGGACAAATCTGTCAGGAATACTACAGAGTTCATCCCCTCCTTTCAAGACAAATTACTTCAACAGTTTTTTCACCCTTATTTTCTATAATTTTATTATCACATTTTCAAGTGATTTATTAGGGTGTTTCTTTCCTACACTCTCATTGACTTTATACTTACAAGTAAGTTTAGAATAGACTTCAGGCTCCTCAAGAAGCCCAGCAAGTCTCAGATGCTTTAATAGTAAAATTTACAAGTATGAATACTCAGTGAATAGACTGAGCTCTTGTATCTAAAAAGGACAGCTGTGAGGAAATGCCACAAAAACAAAGCACACTGGATACAGTGAAAGATATCTATGCCTCCTTGGAAGAAATAAAGTCAAGAACAAAACCAAAAACAAAGCAACAACAACAACAACAACAAAACCCTCAAAAATCCCCAAAACCCACTCCCCTTCCCCCCCAAAAAACCCAATCCAAACGCAATCCAGCAACAACAAAAAAATCCAAGTCCATGTGCTAAACACTGCCTATTTTTCCAGGAACATAACATTTGAAGGAGTAATTAAAATGGAAAACTATTCACTTTACTGCCATTCCCATATAAATTATATGTATATTAGAAAGGGATGGGCAAAGTATTGGAGGGAAGGTGAAGGGTGGGATTTATTTAAAAAATAAAAAAGCATCAACAGACAAAATCATTACTGACAGTATCTAACATGTCACCTTGATACACAGACTTAGTCTGACATACTGGAAATGCTGAATCATTTTCTACTTTCATTTTCCCGAAGAACAGAAATTGTAAACTAGGGCATCTTATGTATCAGGAAAGCTGAACCAGTTAAAATATTCTTGGAATTTACAGGGTAATTCTTAAAATTCCAAAAGTAAAATCTTCTCACAAAAGAATACTGTGGAAACAGATAAAAGATCATTTTGTTTTTTGAGGACCCAAGGGATATTTCTACCTGCAGGTCAGAGATCTTCAGTAGCAGTGCTGTGCCCAGCAACACAAACAGACAAAAGCTCAGCCTGGTAAAGACACTGCCCTCAGGAAAAGAAGCCATTCTCTTCTCAGTTCTCACCAACACACCAAACTCCTTAAATATTACACAAAAAACAGCAGCAGCAGCAGCACCAAACCACTGAATCCTGGTTCTACAGATGATCCTACTGAATTAATAACAAGGATTCTGGTTCTAAATTCAGGTTCTGATTCAGGTTCTGGTTTAGGCCAGCTTGGTCTAGAGAGAGTGAGTTAGAACAGCTCTGGGCTGGAGCAGCTCCTTCAGCTGAGAGCTCCCCTGTGGTGCTGTGCAAACAGGACAGACTTGCCAGGTCTTTACTTGAACCCAGGAAGCCCCAAAAGGGAACCTGCATTCTGTCTGATCATGAGCCATCTCACCTGTACAAATGTGTTCAGAACAGCTCTGCACAAAAGAGCCCAGGGAAGGAGAAGAGTACAAGGAATTCCACAGAGAGCAAGACCAGGGATGCTTAGCTGCAGGATAGAGCCAGTGCATACAGATGAGGTACCAGCAACCCTTTGGCCAAAGGCAAGGAATAAGAGGAAGCACTATTAAATGCTAAAGAGAATGGCCAGGGAAAATGAGATTTGGCTTTTGCTTTGTATTTAGTGCTCAGGCAAAAGTTGTGAAAACAAATTAAACATGTGGCAGGACTAAAGCAGTGAAAACCAAGTATGATCTCCAATTGTGGTAGTATATGGAGCCTAAGCACCTTTTAACTCTTCTTTTAAATCCTGTCAAAAACGGACTAGATGATTGCCCTGCTGCTCAATTTGTTTTTCCTTGTGTGGTCAAAGAAATAAAGTCACAAATTCAGTTTGTCATTAACTGATTAAAAATTAATCAATTATATTGATCAGTGTTAACAGCTAATTGCACTGCTTGCTTTCATTCTCCCACAGCTGGAAGGAAACTTAAGAAGCCCATGGCAACATGAAAACAGTGACAAAGGCTACATGCAAAGAACCTGCTTCACCTTGCTGAAACCTCAGTATCTGAAAGTTAAGGACAGCATAAATCTGCTTCTGTACACAATTAAAGAGGAGTTACACATGCATTTAATTAAGCTAATTGCTCTTGCTTACCATGACACTTATCTGAAACAAATCATTAATGGTCTTCTGAAATACAGTACGTGATAAAACCAATTTCATTGTGAATGCTGCTGTGGGCACTGATAACTATTTGTTAGGAGGAGCTGTATGCAGTTGTGACTGGCATTGTTTTGTTTCATCACATAATAAAAGAAGTTGTGCATGACTGCTTTATTCAATTATGCATGAATCACAAACCTGTCATACCTCTTGCAGGCCACTGGGATTCCTGCAGACATACTTATATATAAATATTTTTAGCTCAACAGAATTAATTTCTTTCAGTTTCCTGTACTTTATTCTTCTGTACTTAAGTTACCATGTCTGAGGAATTAGAACTGACAACAACCTGACATGCAGGATGTCTGTGTAGTCAATAATGCCCTGTATGTTAGTATTTGGAAAGACCATACAGTCATAGTGCAATTCACAACTCTGAGTGCAATTAAGTTTTATGACCTGTAGAAAAACATTCACAAGAAGTAGTTAAGACTGGCTTTTCAACTTCCTCCCCATTTCTACAGAGTAAAGCCTAGCCTCCAAGGCCTTGTTCAGTCCCTGTTATACAGTTTTGTTTTCCCTATAAAATTATCCAAATAATTTAAAAGCATTCTTCCAGAAAAACACCTCCAATGTGCTGCTACTTCACATCATTCTTTCCTCCTCAGCATAAACCCAAGGACAGACTTCAAACACTGACAACATGATCTCCATGTCCCCTCATCTTAGTTTCTTTAGAGCCCTAACAAATTAACTTGTCTTTTCATTAAGACAGAAGAAATTTGGTCGAGAGACTTTCTCACCAAAACCCCAGATTTTAAACAGGCACACTGTCCTCAAGACCATCATTGTGAGTCCTCCACACCAGTGCTCAAGGGACACACTGCAGATAAAAGACCCCTCATCAAGAGATAAGGAAATCTCATTTAGATGCAGAAGTGAAATGGTAACGTTTCAAACCCAGCCTGTAACAGAAAACAACCCCCTCCAACACACTGCTTAGATTAGTTTCATAACATGCTTCCTAAGAAAATAAAAACCATCTTCCACTGAGTAGAAACCACACTAAGACAACAACTGCATACAACTAAATCAGGTGGCCTCACTTACCAAATAAGCAGGTCCTTTTTAACCAAACCTTAGTTAAATAATTAATAATTAAGTCACCTAAATTCTTTTCTCTGAGCAATTATCAACCTTAAGCAAAAGGAGCTCAACTGAGCAGTCTTTGAGATTTCAGACTCCAAGTTACAACTTAAAAGAAAGGAGTATTTCAATATGATTTCATTGGTAACTGCCTGGCAGTAAAGCATTACAGGAAACACTAATTGCTTAATAACTGCTAATAAATTACAGTTCTGGAAATGTAATATATAGACTATTAGGTATGCTAAACCTGTCACCTCCCTCACTAGCTCAGGCCCATCTTTTATTCTGGGATTCCACAGAGTCAACCACACAGAAACAAACCACGAGGAGACACAGAGATGAGATGAGCCTTGTACACTTACCCCTCCTGACAACTTAATCACCCTGACTTTGCTGCCTCCATGGGGCCCATCACTAGCACTGTTTGTCCGCTGCATCACTGTCCTTTTCACCCCCGGCTTCTGCTCCTGGGGCCGGCCGGGGACCGCGGCCGCGCGCGCCGCCTGCGCCGTGGGCAGCGCTGCCGCCGCGGCCGCTTTGCTCGGTAACACTTTCTGGGCTGCCTGAGGCTGACTCGCAGGGATCGTTCTAGTTTGCCTCAGCTGCTTCACCGGCTTCATCTGCTGTCCTTGGTAGGGGCCGTCCCCTGCGCCCTGGGGGAAGTCTGTGGGTTTGGGGTGGATGGTTGCCACTACGGCGTCTTGTTTTCTAACCAGGAGTCTGCTTTTCACGTTGTGCCGGGTCTGCAGGCCGGAGTGGGGGATGTAGGGGCTGCCGTTGGTGGGGAACTCGGAGGAGTCCTCCTCGTGCTGCATGTAGGGCTGCTGGGAGCAAGGCTGCTGCTGCTGCTGCTGCTGCTGGGCAAGTCTCTCCAGCAGCTCTCTCTTCCTGGCCCCAGCCTGCTGCTGCCGTCTCAGCTCCTTCTGCTTCAGGATCTCCTCTCTCAGGCGCTTCTGCTCTTCTATCTTCAAACGGTACAAGCGAGTTTCTTCATCCTCGTCTGGGTACTACAAGGGAAAAACCACATGAATTTACAGAATTCTAAACAGATGCCCAGCTTGGTCAAAACAACATGAAATTGGTTCAGATGTAGAGCTTTTTACATTTTCCCTGATACACTCCACTAATAGCCTTGATTGGGTATCTGCTGCTAGGGTTTATTTGCTATTCATTACAGACAAACAGCTCAAATGGTTTAGGACTTAGATATACTACTTCCTAGACAGAAAAGCTTTAATACCACTTGAGAAATCTGATCAGAATACTAAAAAAAATAATAATAAAAAAGTTTGACAAATTGGAATTAATTTAAAAGTTTCCAAAACCAATTAAACTATTAATATAATTCAAGATATCAAAATATGTTTCAAATAGGAGGTAACAATACAGAGGCAACCCACTGTCACACAGGTTTTATCTTGCTCTTTTCTGACAAAGTAACAAAAGGTAGGGTGGTAAATGACCTGAAAGGCCCTGATTAGAACTATTGATTTTTCTCACAGAATTTTAAGCCTGATCTCAAACTCATTTGTCACACAATAATTGGTTATAATGAACAGCACAAGTCAATCTCTCTGACCTTGAACTCATGCACTCTCTTCAGAATCAAAATGTTGCCAAATGCAGTGTTGGAATATTAATGGTATATAGAGAATGCCTTTAATATTCCAGCCCTGGGCCTCTCTGAAAGTACTATACACCATCAAATAACCTTCCTAAAGATTCTTCCACTCTGACAGAAGAGGTTCTTATGAAAAGCTGTATAAAAATGGACAAGAGCCAAGGAAATGCAGATTCTCATCATCCTAGAAAAGAAATCAAATGGCTCTTGCAATAAAATCACATATATTTTTCAAAATTAGGAAGCATACTATTTTATTATTTCTCTCTTTTTAACCATTTGAAATATTAAGTTAGACTTATAGAGAATGCTTACAAATGGTAATGAGCACAACATTCTACTCAAGATATATCAACCACTCCTAACAACAGCCTCTCCAAGAAATGATACTTTGCATGCTGGTAAATTAATGCAGAATGAGTATTAAAGTATTTCTCAAAAACTGGGAATCTGTGACAAACCTTTATGTATCTTGCAGCAACTGGGTGCAAGCTGTTTTTGACACAACTGCCATTTTTTGAATGTACGTGACCCAAATGTGTGAATTGAAGGTTTGGGGTTTTTTAAGAGCTTTTAATCCTAGTGCACCCTAGAATCCTTCCCAACCCAAGAAAAAACCCAGCAGAATAGATTCAGCCATAATGTTGGTTCATGGATGTGAAAGCCCAGCAGAGTCAGACTTGCACTCACAGCACCCAGATGCACAAATCCTGAATGTTTGTTTCCTTCAGCTGTAGCTGCTTCTTCCCTGAGCAGGTATTGACAGGGATTATTCTCAGTCACTAAAACCAGCTCATTGTCTCAAATTAGAAGTCCAATTACAAGCATCTAATTAGCAGTCTAATTAGAAGCCAAAACATTGGCTAAGTAAGACTAACCAAATTGCATTTTTAAAATTTGCATTTATTTTTTAAGTATGGGTTATAGTTCAGGGATGAGATCGAACAGTTCTTTGCATGAGAATGCTACATCCACCCCAAAGTTCTTATCTTTATACTTTGTAGAACATGATGGTGGTGATTAATAATCACTGTGACAACTAAATTAAAGCTCTGTGATGATAGATGGTACAGAAATGTACTTCTAGAGGAGGAAACACAGATATTTCATCTTGTATTGACTACTGGAGATGCTGGATTGTAGCAAAAAATAAGAATTAGAATTTATCCTTAAATTTACCCAAAAAATAGAATCTACCCTAATGAAACACAGGGAAAGATTAAGACCCTCAAGAATAGTTTGCAAAGGATGAGAAAACATGTAAGCTCCAGCTAGGAGCAGGATGTGCTGTTATGCAGATCCTGATGTAATTATTCAAATTTTCAGTCATTTTCAGAGACACTAAATATCACAATTACTACAATTGTTCAGAGGGAAAACTTGTTTCACTTAATGAATTAGTTTATTCACCTGCTTTGGTTTAGATTGTAACAATTTACAATTTATCTAAACAAGCCTGATGGATGTCATGAGCTAATACCAAGTTTACTTTTGGAGGCAGTCCTGTAATTTTCTTCTCTTATGTTCAATTGGAACATTGCAGCATGAGTCTTCAGGAGACCACCACTTCTATCAGTGCCCTTTATTATGAGGAATTTGCCTGCTTATTTTATTACCTAATGAGTTCTGAAGGCCTTGGGAGAGAGAGACCACGATGTGGCAGGCTCAGAACACCAACTCAAAGGTTGCACATAGCACAGAGATGGGTGCTTTGCAGCACACTCAAATGAGCCCTGCCAGCAGACAAGGAATGAACATCCCAAGGGACTCTGACTAATACATCCCTGCAACAGCCCTTGGACAGACACACTGATTCCAACTATGCCAAAATTAAACACAGAAAGATGACTGACATAAACTAGACATAAACTCTAATACCAACACACATGCAGTTCAAAGAATGCTTAGTAGAATATTCAGGCAATTTGATCTCAAATATAATCTGAAACGTTCCTTTCTGGAACTAAGGAAATTAGTAATGATCCTTGGAAGTCAATCCCTTCTTAAAAGTTAAAATCAAGCATTAAGAGCCCTGAGGTTACATGACAACTGCAGATCAGTCTGTTAACAGGCTAGAGGTAGACCTAAATCCTTCCAAAGCAAGGTACTACTACTAGTGTTAAATTCTACACAAAATATCCGCACAGCTGGAGGAAGAGAATATAAAGACTCTGTGATGATTAACAAAGTATCTCCATTAGAAGTCAGCTTTAACTCAATTTAGTTGCACAATGGCCCAACAGTACAGACTGAGAAGGACAGCAGACTCCTTATCAGGATGAAAACAGGGGCAGTTAAATCCCCTTCTCCTCAGCTCTAAGAGCACCTTGTACACACCACCCTAGAGAGTGGGGGTATATATGTGATGTATAGTACACATAAATGACCTAGAGTATGTAATAAGGACATTCAGCATATGGAACAGGGTCAAAATGAACACAGGACACAATGCCTATTGCTAATGACTTCCATCCCATTAGTTTAGTAAGCCCAGGATAGATTTCTCCAACAAGCAACAGCACTGCCAAGGAAACAAGGAAAAAAAGAAAAAGGCAAGGCAAGCAAGCATTTTGCCTACAGAATCAACTGGGAGAAAGTACACATCCTTCAAAGTTCAAACCAGTCTAATTTTCACATTCTGTGTCTGAAAGCAACATTATCTGTAGGTAAAAAAGCAGAAAAACATGGAGCAGCCTTTTCCCTAGACAAATTATTAAGCTTCACGTGGTCTGGGTAGAAAACTCCCCAACATGAAGAAATGGTACACTGCACATGTATATGGCTCCTCCTTTTACAGGAGGCTGCAGAGTACAAAAGGCCAGACAGGCACTTGGTTTTGTGGGGATGGTTTTTTTCTGCCAGGTTTTGAGGTTTTTTTCTTTTCCTTTTTTTTCCTTTTTTTAAGTGGAAATTCTCATCCATCTTTGAAGAGCTTTAACACAATGCATTTCACTGAGGTTTGAAGGAAGACTGAGCCTCAGCTGCAGGTTTTTCTTCTCCCTTATGATCCAAGGCAGTTTTGATGGGAAGCACCAAAAGAAAACATTACAGGCTGCTCTCCTGAATCTAGCTGAAGAGCACCAGCAAGAAAGAGGGAAGCAGCAGTCCCACATCCTTCTTCTGGGGATTCTAGAATGGCACTGTTGACTTAGGAAAAGACAGCAAGAACACACTCTAAATCAAAGAATTAAACTTTCTTCTGAAATTTAAAGTCCTAGTACCAGTAGCTTGCTTTTCATGTGTGAATTAAAAAGAAATAAACCCATACTTTTTCAGAAGTCTGCAGGATTAATTGCCAATTAATAGAACTAAATGCTGAGTCATAAGAACCAGACACTATTAATGTTCTGGATGGCTCCCAAGGAACAAAAAAGGAATCATGCAACCAGGATCACTTATGTGTCTCAGTAAAATGGATGCAAGAACAGAGCATTCAAAATGGTTTGATCTGTGGCATAAACACAAACCTATTTTAAAGCAGGCTTGTCTTTATTTTTTTAAGCTGTAACATTAAAAACGTAAGAAGCTAGAATAATTTGTCTAAAAATTCATACCAATTGTTTGCAAAAGGCACAGCCAGATCCAAATTGCATCATTTGGCTGCTTGTGTTCAAACCCACAAAGTATCTGAATTAAAGGCTACCTACATATACACACTGTACATTTCACATTGCTGATAACATCAGCTCCTGAACCCAAGGAAGGTATGAGACACCCCACAAAGCAGAGATGTTGCACATCTTGGACAAACAGGGAGAGAGTGAAGAACAAGGTTACAAGTTACTCCAAGAAGCACACTGCCCTCTTGTTCATTTCCAACTGGAAACAAAAACTGTGATGAGACTCTTACAAGCACAAGGCAGGAAGCACCATTACAAAAATCTGGAAGAGAAGTTATTTAAACTGGAGAAAATTCTACAACTTTTCAGGTAGTTCATAACCAAAAATATTTAAATATTCAGGTACATTTGATCTAGTAATTTAGTGCAGCAACTCTTTTCATATTGCAAGCCTTGTTAGAAAAGACAGCAATGTAAAATCCAACAAAATTCACAATTCACTGGATTTGGAAGAATGGAATACAAAGGTTTTCTTTCAGTACATCAAGGACATTATCCCCAGTGTAAGTACTAACATCAATACACTGACGACTACACAGTGCTCTACTAATTTCCCTCCTGCTCTGAGCTCCAATATCCATTTCTCCTAAAGACACATCACCTTTCTCCATTCTCCCTCCTCTTTAAACTCAAAAATGCTTAATACTGCCTTAATTCCTCTAATCCTAAGCTGACTTCCACAGGAGCAGAATTAGGCCCACATCATCCAGACTTTCCTATTTCAATGACAAAATGATGTTTCAGACTAAGGATATACAATTTAAATCCTGGGGAGTAAAAGCTATTCTCAACAGGCATTTAAGGTCAGTATTTTGCAGCCTCACAGGAACAGGAATACAAGCATTCCATTTAATATACAGTTTTTAATCTCCTATTCACTCACATTGCAAACCTTTCAAATATCTATATTTAGGGTGAGCAAAACCTCTAACAGCCAATATTGCTATTTTTTCGGTGCTTCCTGAATGATAGGTCACTCATAAATACAGTCACTGACTCTTTAGGAAGAAAGATGCAAAGAAAAGTCTTAATTTTCCAGTTGAAGACACTTGCAAAATAACCTGCCCAATTCAGTTATGTGCCATATAGCTAGAAAAGGTGACAGAACTTAACTCTTTCTCATCAACATCAAAAGCAAAAGAACAGGATGAAGCCAGCTAATTACAAGAAAAAAAACCACAAAAAAGACTGCAAAACATTACAATCTGCTTAAGGAGAGATATGTAATAACCTACATTACAAAAACAGTGAAGAAAATGATTAAATGCTTGTAAATGAACATTTTTAGTGCAGCATTCCCATCTGTAAGAGTGACAATAAGCAGCAGCAGACCAAGAGCACTGCAGTGGCCCAGCAGAAATGGGACAAAGCTACTACAGTGTTTGCAGCACCAGGCTCTGGTCCAGGTGTGCTTTGGAAGGACAAGGTTCTCCTAATGCCTGCCAAATATAACTACAAGGGCTTTACTAGGAGACTTCATTTGTTCCAAGACAACCCTGGCTTTTTATCCTGCTTTGCAAAAACTTGCATAAAACAGGTATCAGAATTTTATCAATGACAGTTTTGACAGAGAAATAAAAAGAAAGTTTTATTTGTAATACACCAAGAATTCACACAGGTAAGATTAGTTGGTTTGATAACCAACTAGAGTATGTTTAAAATGTAAAATGGAGACAACAAGATGACTGCTTTGGGGTTTGTTTGATTGTTTAGTTTTCTCTTTAATTAAAAGAAATTTTAAAAATTCTTATCTTTTTCTAAATACTGCCAGAGATACTTTGGAGCCAATGCCCTAACTTTCATTTGAATATTTTACAGAATAACTTCAAGATGTTTTAGATGGGGAGGCCTGTGGCTGATTTTTCAAGACTTACCTTAGTAATGGCCTGAAAGACAAGGCTTCTCTACAAAGCACTGCATTTTGCATTTTCTGTGACTGAGATTATTCCAAGAGACTGAATTGAGGGGAAAGAGATTACTTAAATATTTTTTCCAAAAAAGGTGAAAATTAAAAGCTAAAAAAGGATTTTTTTTTTCATTTCCATTGAAAAGCAAGTGCACAGGAGGTCAAACACTGATAGCTTTAGGTTTCTTTTGTGCCTCATTTATGGAAATTAGTTATGACCATCCCTAATTCAAGAACAAGATGAAAAGCTAATCATGAGCAGCTTAAAGGAAGACAGCATTATCACAATTAAAGCTTTCAATGGCTGTTGAAGAAAACCTGTTCCTTGAGACAAGATTCATGGTTAACTATAACTATGAAGATTTACAGTTCTTCACAGAATAGCCTGACAAAGCACACAGGGTGCATTTAGCCATCATGCTCAGGATATAATGAGCACCATCAGTCCAACCCTACCCATTCTCTCCAAGTAGCAGAGCTCAAGGAGAGTCTTCTCCAGCTTCCAGGAGATCTGTGCAGGGAAATGGTCATCTGTTCACATGACACGATCCAGTGGAGCTGAAAACACTGGCATCTGACTTTTTCAATTGTGCAGAATACCAGCAGAGCAAACAGCATCACTTTCTCCAAAATGGAAAACTTAAAAGCATCTCCTCTTTTTCCTTACATGAAAAGGTTTCAAAAAACGGAGATTTTCTTTCTCAAGAGCAAGAAGCTCCATGGACATCACAGCTATGATCTCCTGCATGAATGCTCAAGGCCAAGTAGAGACTGAACAGCCTAAAGGAAAACAGCATGAGGAAGACAGCTCTCCAAATAGCCTTCTTTTTTTGCCTTTGAGCCATACAGCACCATACAAAACGACAGAGAAGAGGCTTTCAGACTTAGAAGAATGCGATCACCTGAAAATAAATTATAATTCCCAAATATAAAAATGGGCAAAATGAGTATTTTAGAGACTTGTATCACTAATCACCTTTACTCAAAATCTGCCTTTTCCTAGTTGGAATGAGAACTCCTCCCACAAAACAAATTCACCACAGCCTTGCCAACTTTCCAGACCTTCTATGTCAATGGAGACTATTTCTGCTGTTACAGTAAAAAATAAAAATGCAATTCAGAAGGGAGGCCTCTAGTGGCACCTAAAATATTTGGTGGATAATACATTAATACTTAATGTATTATCCACCAAATATTTTAGGTGCTTTCAATTTATAAATCAGACTAAAGAAGTATTTTAAAGGTGGGAGCTTTGTTTCTCATTGTTTGGTTTTTGATCTTTTGTGTAGGAGTGTCGGGGTTAGGATGGTCGGGACGGATGGAGATGAGAGATTTCTGAAGGCAGGTTGTGGAATTTGGGGTTTATTGCGAAGGGTGTGGGTGCAGGGACCCTGCTTGGAGCTGCCAGCCACAGCTCAGAGCAGGCTTGAGAGAAGAGAGTGGTAAAGAGGATGAGAGAGAGAGGGAGTAAAAGAGGGTAAGAGTGTAAGAGAGTGAGGTTCTCTTTACAATACAATAAATCTTCTTCTGTGTTGAATATTTTAATTCTCACTAACTAATTTAGTACAATATACAAATCTTATAGCATTAACATACAGCTTATAAGAATCATTACATTTACTATACTGTGTTACATTTTAAACTTTAAAAACTACTTTTTGGACTCCTTTTGCTAAGCTAGTAGGGTCTGCTCTGACCCTTGGACCTGCCTGCAAGCAGAGGGTGTTGTTTCATCAAAAGGGGATCACCTTCAGCCAGCTTCACCATTGTTTTCCAGTTGTTCAGTAATTGAGGTATCTCAAAGCTTGCTTTCATGTCAATCTCACTTATAGTTTCTATATTCTCAAAATCTTTTGCCAGGCAACCATATTTATAAGGTTTTCCTGTTTCATCTTCCCCAACACTTTTGTTTAAGCAAAACAAAAAATCCCTTACCTCCGGTTCACATTTTCCTTCTGATTTTGCCTGGCCCACTGGGGTGATTGCTTTAGCTTTCATCTCAGGCCTTCCCTGGGAGTTGGCAGTAGCAGTGGCAGGCTTGGTGGCAGGCAGGGAGCTGGGGATGGGTTTGACCTGGGCAGCGGGGGCAGAGCTGCGGCGGGTGCTGCCCATGTCCAGGGCGTGGGCCGGGGCGATGGGCAGCTCGCGCAGGTTGCTGTTCCTGGGAGCTGCCGGCTGCAGCTGCTGGCTGGAACGCTTGACGATATTCTGGGATGGGGTGCTCTGAAAAGAACAAAGGAAAAGAGCTGCTGACTTCCACCACTAACCAGGCTGAAGCGATTCCGGTTTCACATTTTCCAGATTTAGTTCAGTTTGGGAAAATAAGCTTTGTGAAAAGGCACAATATTTTAATGTCAGGGAAAAAAAATACAGAAATGAGAATATTTTAATAACCTTTCCTAATCAAAGCAATTATGTAAAACTATAGTTATATTGTCTTGAGCACTGCTCCAGGCTGTTGTCCTACCCAACCTACCAAGCAGCAAAATATGCTGCATTGGAGGAAACTCACAAGACAGGAGAGGCATTATCTGAACCAGAAAACTGATCAGCAGTGGTACAGGGAGGCCTTCAAATCAAAAGAGTGTCACAGAAGTGGGCTCCCACACAATCACAGACTAGCAGCAGTTGAAAAGCCTTATAAAGCAAACTTCTTCTTCACCACCCCTCCATTGGTAGTTCTTGGGCAACTGCAACATCTCTTATTGGACCCAAATCAAAATGAACACTGATGACCAGAGGAGAAAAGAAAGATACACAAGGTATTTTTCAATGTAGATTATAAAACAATCAAAGCAGAAAAATGAGCAAGAAATGGTCAAATTAGGGGAAAGAGAAGAAGGGAATAAATAGAACTGAAAACCTATGCTGGTGAGTTTTGAAACCTGTGCTTACATGCCTGCTACTCATGCAGGACACTGCTGTTTGTGGTACTTACATGCCTTGGCTTCATTGGACCCTGTCGTGGCTGACACTGCATCCTGTTGTTATTTGGCTGCTGCTGTGTGGCTTGAATGTGAGGCCTGAACTGTGGCTGGTTCATGGGCATCAAGGGCTGTGGAGGCCCTTGGAGATGGTGATGCTGCTGCTGCTGCTGGTGATGGTGCTGCTGTTGCTGCTGGTGATGCTGCTGATGAGGCTGAGGTTGTGGCTGAGGCTGTAATGGAGGATGCATGGGACCCTTCACATGAAAAAAAAAAAATTTTAGTTTCAAGGTAATAAACTCCAGAAAAGCAGCTCCAGCCTCCTGAGTCCTCAGAACTATAAGCAGCTAATGAAGCAGGTTACACCAGGAAAGAACAGACCAACCAGAGAGGTGTAAGGTCTACTCTTAAAACCTGTGTAAGGCAACAGGTGAAGTAAAAAGAAAAATACGAATTCAAGGGTTGCTGTCCTCTACCCCGTTTTCTAAGGGGGTTTACCCCGGCCCCCTGCACATCCCCGAAGCGCTGCCCCGCTTCCAGCGGCCGCAGCCCCACGGCCCCGCTCCGCGGCCGGCAGAGGGCGCTGCCGCCCCGCGCTGCCCCGGGCCGGCACCGAGCGAGACCGGACACGGCAGCGGCGGAAGATCCAATAGATCCATCACTCCCCAGGCACTGCAGCGATGGCACTGCAGGGCCATCCCCCTCGGAACTGCAACGCTTCGGCTCCATCGCTCCCCCAGCGCTGTACCTGCATGCTGGGCTGCGTGTGCGGGGCCAGGAAGGGCTGTCCCGGCGCCTGCAGGAACTGCTGCCGCGGGGGGATGAAGGGCCGCGGGGTGGCGGAGCCCGGCTGGTTGAAGTGCAGGATCCCCACGGGGCCCTGGGGCTGCATGCCGGGCCGCACCGGGCGCTCCCGGGGATACACCGGCTGCTGGCCCTGCTGGGTAAAGGCGGGCCCGGGCGGGCTGAAGGGCATCGGGCTCTGCGTAGGAACGGGATGGGCGCTGTTCAGCAGCGGGGGAGGCGGAGGCGGCGGGGGGCTGCGCTGCTCAAACAAGGGGTGACCCGGGAACCTCGGATCTGCGGGAATGAGAAATTGATTCAATTACAACCTTCCTGGGACACAAACGCATTTCGGAAACATAAAGCTCTAGTCTGAAAGAAATTCGGAAAGAAATCTGCACAATGCAAAACTCTATGGGATGTTTTAATTATAAAAGCTACCCTCAAGGTTATGTTTCTCTTGTTCCTGTCATTTGTGTATAAAAGGAATTGATCCTTGAAAAACCGGCACAACTGGTACTCTGATGCAATCAGCAATACCTGTTAGAAATTCTACTTTAATAAAATCAATGAAGGATTCCACTGATTACAGTTTAAACCACAGAAGAACTCATAAAGCATTGACACCATTTGCTGACTTGGTATTTAGCACATTTTAACATACTGTACATGTGTAAAAATATTGTGTGTATATATATATACACACATACACATTACTTATATGCGGTATAAATATAACTTACCCTCTCTTTCGTTTGCTAGGCTGTATCATTCTAACCTTAACAAATTTCTTACACTATACACACAATCCAGGCAGTTTAAAGATTTACAAGAAACCCAAGTTTATTGAAAGTACTTGTTTTCCAAATTATAACAAAGTGCAACAACTTCATTGCAACAATCACATAGATATTAATTATTTTTGTGTCTATATAAATATCTGGATTCATGGCAGTTACAGGTGAAGACATTAAAAAAGTAAAAATCCACATCAAAAGAAGTAAAAATATACTAGAGAACCAGAATTTCTGGCAATCAAATGGGATCTTTCAGCCTTCATGTTCTTCTGAACACTTCATGTTGTGGGGTATGCAGTCACAGTGCAGTCACTTTACAACAGGTGGGTATTAACTGTAAATGGGATTGAAAATGCTCACCTGCTAAGAAGAAAGGATCTCTGTCCTGAGGAGGTGGAGGAGGGAGTGGTGGAGGTGGTGGGGGCGGCCCTCTCCACTGGTCCTGGATTGGCAGCCTCGGGGCTTGGGAGAAGTTGGTAGGAACTGGTCCAGGTGTATGCTGCTGGAAGTCTGGAGGGCCCTAATTTAGTAAGAGAGAATTAAAATTAAGGCTACCATCCAGAAATTTATGTATTGTCTGCTATAACTTTTTTTCTCTCAAAAATACAATTGCTGTATGAATTATCTCCTATCACCTGTACAAACTGACAGCCCTTACTGAGTCATTCCTTCACAATGGAAGATACATTAAACCCAAGTACAGTATCTTGAAATGAATTCACAATGTTTTAATAATCACTAGCACCACAGGAATGCCATTTCTTCTCAAGCTTATTTCTGAAATCCATGCAATTATTGACCTTCTTTCCCATTAATCCAAAAAAATCTGAATGTCTACTTCAGAAGACATTCCTGACATTTATCTTCATAAACCATACTATTCTTCATCATCAATTTAGCACAATGTAAGCTACAGGAGGGAGCAGCTTTACTTAAAAAAAAAGCAGGGGGGAAGGACAATTTATGACACCCAGAAAATTAAAGAAATCATCTTTCTAAAAGAATTAAGAGGAGAGTAACATTTCAGGCTATTCACAGTTTAGCATCTGAAGCATTTTAAGAAAGAAAATTTTGTACTCTTTCTTCCAGTAAGGCATTGGATTTTTTTCTTTTTTTCATGCCTTTGTATATTGCAGGAAGCAGTATGTTAATACAAAACCAGAATTCTGCAGAAGACACGTTTAATTGAGTAATTCACACTATATTTTTTTTTATCAAAAGTTGACAAAATACATTGGCAACTTCCAATATACAGAGTAAGCTTTGCTTCACATAAATTATATTCTTAACCATTTCCTTATTATGTGAGTAAATCAAGTAAGTAATGAAAATAATCTGTGAACATCCTTGCTTTCTATAAAGATTCTGAAATCAGTGATGGGATCTCTTCTGTTTACATGTGATGCTCATCTTGAGGCTTAAAACTTGCACTGCTGAAGACAAGGTTTTCAAAACAGATTCCAGACCAAAAGCTCCCTGCTAGACTGAAGTATTGTCATCAGGAAAGGACCAAACAACTAAGCTGCAGTAGCTTATCTTTTATCTCTTGAGTTGACCCCACCAAGGGTATGCACAGTCTCACCCTAGCATATTTGCACTGCACAGAGAGTGGAATTTTAGGATAAGAATTTCTCACACAGCAACAATGGCCCTGGAGCATACTCACTATCAAAGCAGCACAAGACAGAGCTGCTTATACAGCCCTCTACCAGCACAATACACCTGGGATTGGCAAGGCCCAAATAAGTAGATGAGCAGCACCAAGGATCAGATCCATTATTAAATCTGTGGCCTTCCTGAAACACCTGAATGGGGATGTGTGAGATACTAAAACCTCTTATTTGGGACCAAGACTGTGACTACTTATGTCATTATACAGCCATCAACTGTAAATACATTATCATTCCTAGAGATTAAAGGGTCTATATCCCCTTGCTTCCAGTCAGCCAGTCTCCTGTGGGTATTTCATTTAGTGAAAAGACATTATATTACACTCAAGCATGACAGTCCTCATAACATACACACTGTTTGTAGGAGGAGCTCTACACTTCTGCAAGTGAACAGTCACAACACACAATATTCCTGCCACCTTGGAACTGACTACTCTGCCTTTGAATTTCACAGGCTGTCTGCAAACAACAGCAGTTGGAGCAAGATGGAGCTGTTTGGGATGGAAAAAAAGTGACATTTATTTGTTCCATAAAAACCTTTTCAGGTTTAGCTGAACAAGGATGTTGAACTGCTTTGCCCTTTCCTCGTGTTGAGCAGGACAGCACTGGCTGCCTGCCAAAAGATCAGCTGAACACAAACCTTGAGGATCCTGACCCTTCACTCCCAAACCACACCTCCAGCATCACTGCACATAGGAGCTGCCAGAGCTGCTTTCAAAATAAGGTTACATGCATACCCTCAGCTCAGAAGCTTTGGTGACAAAAGCCTATTTCTTCAAGCACTGCTCTTACAGCAATCCCAGGGAATACACACACAGCCCCTTCCACATGCTGCACGTCCTTGAGGGAGGCACCCAGCAGACCCACTCATTTTTAGCTATTTATATTTTAGCTATTTAGTTATTAGTTTACCAGTGGATAATGCCTAAGGCCATTGCAACAGGAGCATGGGAGAACCCAGTTCAACAGGGCACTTGCACACAAGATGGTTTTAACCTTGCATCTGATTTACAGCACGTACCCACATGCTCATCTTTCATCTCGGGACAGAGCATGGTCTTGACAACCAATTTTCCCCATTTTCAAAGAGCTTGACTCAGAAGCTCTCAAATTCCTCCTAGTTTTCCCTAGACATATCCCTACACATATCTTAGTCATTTGTAAAATAGCCAGCAAAAAACAAATGATGTGGAAACTTACTGAAACCTGGGCTAATAAATCTTAAGTGTCACGTATCTGCCACCCGAGCTGAAGAACTGGCAGCAGCAATGATCTGTCTGGGCTTGGTTCCAAGCACCAAATGGCAGGGCAGTGATCATGGTCTCCTCTACCTGCTTCTTCCAAACTCCATGTATTGTGCCCTGGTTGAGGTAACAGATCCTTATCAGTCTCTCCTCTCACTCCCCAGAGTTCAGTTTTAGTGCTAGGCTGAAAGGCAACAGGCTTAGCCTACAAACTAAGCAGCCGTCTCTGCTTCTCGACCACATTTGTTACCTGGTCTCAAGCATCTTCCTCAATATCAATTCCTTGCCCAATTTGCCTTTTTGTTCTCCTGGTCCTGCTCACTCCTTCAGATCCATTCTCTCATCCCCATCATGTCTTTCACTCTGGCCACTGGTTCCTAATCCCAGCATGGAACCAGATCCCAGCTTCCAGACTCCAAGCTGGTGGTCTTATGTTGTGGCAGCTGGTCAGGAGCTCCTACTTGCCCCCCTCAGCCCCTGATTTCCTTGTCTGTACACTTACACCAGGCCATCTCCTCTCTTTTTCCTGCCAGGGAAGCAGCAGGCACAGGCTGAAAAAAATCCAGTATGTTTATTTTAAATAAACAATTCTTTGTACCAGCCTTCCCTCTCCTGCCAACCTGTACCCTCATTATTATGCCCAGATTTGTCTCCTCCTAAGGCAGCCCTGAATTGCAAATGCATGGAAAGTCCTGTTGAATTTCACACAGCCCTTATGTACTGAAACATCCTCAGTGCAGCCAAACTCAGTTTTCTTCCTTGGAAAATGAGCAATAATAAAACATTTCTAAATAACTCGCCTAGGCACAGAAGTATTTTTCCACCATTTCAGTTTTAGAATGAAAGTATATTTGGAAAATTTCAACCAAAAGGATTCAAAATGAGGCCAGCAACCAGCACAACATATTGGTTTAGGCCACTAAAGTCTGTTAGTATTGCACATACTGAGAGCAGCTTTATATTTCTCATCATAAAGAAACAAACCTTTATGAAATAAGCTTTAGGTAAGTTTTAGAACTGAGTAATACAAGGTCATTTTAAGTCTGAGGAAGCCCACACTTAAAAAAACCAAAAAAAACCCCAAAAAAACAAAACCAAAAACCCCACAAACCAATAACCATCAAGACATTTTACTATTAAAAGTACTAGCAATGCTGATTTCAAGCTCCCTGTGATCTTCTGTACCAAAGGTGTGTAGCCATCTTAAGAATCAAAACATTTAGTGTTCTCTAAAAATCTGCCTTGATTTAACACAAAATAACAAGTATCTAACTGTTATCCAAAAGCTGGTGTCAAAAAATCCCAACAAATTAAGAATTTTTTCCTCTAGTTAGCAGTATATGTCATGTAAGTACATACCACAACACAAGTTTGGGTCAAAATAACTCTTAAAACAGTCCAAGAAAGAACAAGAAGGAAATATCTGAAGTTTGGAACTCTTCCTATTGGCCTCTCTTTTTTCTATCCCTAGCAGTGAAGAACTCTGGGGTTTTTTCCACTTTTTAAGATTCCAGATTCACTAACAAATATCTACTTATTTGATTGCTGAGCAGATTTTGTGTCTGACATTTTGAAAAACTACTAAATTATGACTGATCACATTTCTTGGCTGATAACCAAAGGCCAATCATGCAAAATTAATTGCAAAGACATTTGTTATTTGCTGAAAAGCAAATTACTAATGTTTGCTTCTTAAAAAAAAAAAAAATTAGGTTGATTCTTTCCCTTCTTACAGTCATGATAAACTGACCTCCACTTCTTTCCTAAATCAGCTTTGCTTCTATATCCCTAAAGATAAAAACTTCTGCCCTAAATAACAGTATAAACAGGGAGGGGAAAGCTTCTATTTTCCTATCTTACATTGCTGAGATTTTTCTTCAGAAAAAGCTCCCAGGGTAATTCCAATAGGAATTCAGCTGTGCAACTGATTCATATCACACACTCCATGTGAAAACTCTAACATTCAACTACTTCCAGCCACACAATACTCTTTTTAAAAAAGAAAATACATAAATTATGATGGGTGTTTTCCTAAATTATGATGTCTTTGTCTATTATTCTCAAATGACATTACTTTTTTTTCCAATTCAATAGAAATACAACAGTACTACCATTTCAACTTTTACTTATGTCAAATTCTAATTGTCCTAAAACCAGTACAAAGTAATATAACAGCTCTCCCTCCATTGCTTAAAGCTTTTGAGGGTGGGCTTATTTTCTTGGTGGATTTTTTTTTTTTTTTGTGTTTAGCAGTAGTTAAACTACAATTTTGGTAGTGGATTATTTTACCATTAATGTTAAACTCTCCATTCAGCAAGTATTTGTTGCTAATAACCCCCAAGTGCCCTCTGGTATTTGGTGGAAAAGACCACTCAGAGTTATTTAACTTCAAAAATTAATGAAGAGCAGGTGCAAAAGCCAGGTTTCATAATGGTCTATTTTTGATAAAAGAAGCATACTGTAACATAGATGCATAATAAATCTTTATATGCACAGTAGTTACTCCCATTTTTCATGGTTTTGCTATCCGGACAGTTTCAAATTACACCCAACTATTCAGTACACACATCAGCCGGAGTCCCTGCAAAAAACATTTTAACTATTAC